TCAGACACCATCACAGCGCTTTTAGAATCTCCTCTCTGTCACAGTTCCTTACCAAGTGCTGCCGGAACAGAAATACCATCCGTGGGTGGTAGTACAGAAATGTCTGTTCTCACTGTTAGGAGACGGGACATCTGAACTCAGGGGCCGTGGGGAGAGGTGCTTGCTTGTTAATTCCGCTTCTGTTGGCACTGTTGTAAATTAACATCTATTGACCAATGGAAGGTTTGTGGCAATCCTGACCCAATCAAGTCTGCTGTTGTTGATAGGTGTCATCGAGTCGGTATCGACTCATAGCGACTCTGTGTACAACAGAACTGAAACACTGCCAGGTCCTGGGCCAACCTCACAATTGTTGCCACGCTTGAACCCATTGATGCTGCCACTTGGCCAATTCATCTCATTAAGGGTTTTCCTCTTTTTCTCTGACCCTCCACCTTTCCCAACTTGATATCCTTCTCCAGCGACTGGTCCCTTCTGACAATATGTCTGAAGTATGAGAGATGAAGTTTGGCCATCCTGGCCTCCAAGGAGCACTCTGGCTGAACTTCTTCCAACACGGATCTATTGGTTCTTTTGGCACCATGGCACTTTCAGTATTCTCCTCCAACACCACAACTCAAAAGCATGAAGTCTTGTTGTTGTTGTTAAGTGCCGTGGAGTCAGTTCCGACTCATGGTGACCCTGCACAGGGTTTCCAAGGCTGCAAATCTTCACAGGAGCAGAAAGCCTCATCTTTCTTCCGTGGAACAGCTGGTAGTTTCGAACTGTTGACCTTGAGGTTAGCAGCCCAATTCGTAACCACTACGCTAGCAGACTCCTTTTGTATGAAGTCTACGGGATCCCCTTTCCAACAGCCTGTGCTCTTTGCTTTGGTCTTTCTCGCCATGTGTTAAGTGTTTCATCAGGCTGTTGTACATTTAATGTAGTGTTGTAGAATCAGCACTGGATTTCGAACCACAAGGTCAGCAGTTCAAACCTAATAGCTGCTCTTGGAAGCCCTATACAGGGTTGCTGAGTCAGAACCAACTTGACAGATCTTAACAACATTGCATACTTAATAAGTTACAGTATAATGTAAGTGACTTTTATGTGCACTGGGAAACCAAAAAAATTCCTGTGACTCATTTTATTGAGATATTCAATCTACTGCAGTGGTCTGGAACCAAACCTGCAGTTATCTCTGAGGACTGAGGTGTGGCTGAGCGATTGGATTCTGCTTCCAGTAGCAGGCAGTCCTTGCTCCTGGGTGTTGATTTATCTTCACACAGGGTCTGTCTCCTTCCATGTTGGTTTATTGTGTGCCTAATCTGCACCTTTTATATCACAGAAGGGAGGAGGTTTAAGACACACCCTAACCTGGCAGAGCAGTGGATTGTAAACTAACTAGACAGCAGTTTGAATCTACCAGTCATTCCGCAGAGAAAAGATGAGATTTTCTGTTCCTGTAAAGAGTTGGTGGCTGGTGGTGGCTGTGTGCCGGGGAGTCAGTTCCGACTCATAGCGACCCTGTTCAGGGTTTCTGAGGCTGTAAATCTTTACAGGAGCAGAAAGCCTCATCTTTCCCCCGTGGAACAACTGGTAGTTTCAAACTGCTGACCTTACGGTTCACAGACCAATTTGTTACCACTAAGCTACCAGAGCTCCTTAATTCAGGATAATATCTGGTGAAGATTCACTGTCTCAGAAACCCTATACAGAATCCCTAGGAGTTGGAACTGGCTCCACAGCACATAACCAACAAGCAAGCAACCAAACTGATATGTGGAGTCCTGGTGTGGCGCTGTAAAATAAGCACTTGTCTGATAATTACAAAGTTGGTGGTTCAAACCCTTGGAAAAGCTATACAAGGCTGCTAGGAGTTAACGGTACAAAGTTGCTGTAAGTTAGAACAAGGAGCTCTGGTAGCGTATTTCCACAGATATATGGATTAGTATTCCAATACATTAAAAAAAATTTTTTTGAGGGGGAACACAATTTATTTAGTCCATAGCAGGTAGGAGTACTTCCTTCTGTGTAGATGAGGAAATGAAGGCTCAGAGAATTTAAATTATTTCTGAGGTCACATAGCTGGTAAGCAGCAGAGCAGGGATTAGAACAGACATGGTTGGGGTAGACTAGGGGCAACGTGATCAGCTTTACCTACATCTTTTGTGAGAGGGTACCAGTGATTTTTATTTTCTTCTTTATGACTTTTTGTGTTTTCTAAATTCTTTACAATTAATACGTATTAATGGTTCTGTCTACCAGCTGCTCCACAGGAGAAAAATGAGGCTTTCTGCTCCTGTAAAGATTAACAGCCTGTTCAGGGTCACTTTGGGTTAGAACCAACTCGACGGCACTTAACAATGGTTCTGTCAGCAAAGATGCCAGTTTGAGGACTAAGGTGCACCTGACCCAAGCCATGGTATTTTCAATAGCCTCATATGCATGTGAAAGTTGGAAACCGAGTAAGGAAAATGGTAGAAGAATCAGAGCATTTGACTTACGATGTCGGAGAATATTCAAAGGACCATGGACCACCAGAAGAACAAAACTATTTATCTTGGAGGAAGTACAGCCAGAATGCTCCTTAAAAGCAGGTTAGCAAGACTTGTCTCTCATACTTGGTATGTGTTATTAGCAGGGACCAGCCCCTGGAGAAGGACTCGTACTTGGTAAAATGGAGGATCAGTGAAAAAGTGGAAGACCCCCAACAAGATGGATTCACAGTGGCAGCAAAAAAGGGGTTCAAACAACAAGTGTTGCAGACTGGGTGATGAACGAGTCTGTTGTGCACAGGGTCAGTCGTACCTAACAACAGTGCTTTGGCAACATGTAAAGTGTGGATGTTGGTTTGTTTTTCTTTTTTACCTTTTAACTGTGATTTGGGTGAAAGTGTACAGAGCACACTAGTTTTCCTTTCAACTATTTATACACATTTGGTTCCATGGCATTGGCTGTAATTCCATTCATCCTTCTTTTCTGCCTTCTGGACTTGTCTTTTGGGTAAATGTTGCCCATTGAGTCTTGTTTGCTTGATATTGTTCCAAGGAGCACATTTCTCACACGAGTGGTTATTCATGGCATAGGCCTGTGCATTGTTTGGTCACAAGGCGATCCCCGGGGTAGGTTCAGTTCCAGGTCTGAGGGGTGTCTAAGGGCCATAGTCTTGGGGGTTCCAACAGTCTCCTTTGCCTATACTATGTCTTGCAGGATTTGGTTTCTATCCTCTCTCCACACCCCTCAGCTTTTCCGAACCGTGCCGTCTGTGTGTTTGCACTCTGCTGGTCTGACTCTGTATCCCACCTGCACCCAGACCCGGTGTGCTGAAACTCTGCTGTGAAGATCTAGTGTGAGCTCAGAAAGGGTGCTTCCAGTTGCTCAAGAATGATAACAATCTGCCCTAAAATCCAGGGCTCCACACATCCAGCACTAGGGCCATGGCAGACCCAGGTTTGAACCCCAGCTCTGCCACTTCCTCGCCGGGGGACACGTGGAGAATACCTCCAGCCCACCAAATGGGGATGAAAACAGCACCCGTTTGTCTTATGGTTGTTGTTAAGAAGTAACTAAACTACTGAACCTGAGTGTGCCTCAATTCAATCGGACGAATGTCTGTGTTTATTGAGTAAAAAGGCGGTTTATGGGACAAGTCAGAACATCAAACTGCTTTTTGAAAAATAAAAAAAAAAAAAGAAAACACATTTATTTCTGTAAACTGTTTGCACATGGATGGTCTTCACAACCTCAGTACAGATGTCCTTCCCCCAAATGAAACAAGCAAAGAAAACAAGAAAAAGATGGAATAAAATGTGCTCATAAAGAACCAATCCGTTCTCATCTTTCTTTTTTCCTTAAAAAAACAAAACAAAACAAAAGAAATCCTTTTGACCGTCTGGTGCGGGTGACTGAAACCACAGGCTCTGAGGGCCCCGTGGATGCTGGGTTTTTGCTCAAGATGCAGTGAAAGCGGCAAAGGAGGCCGGGGCCCGAGCACGCTCGTTTCTGTTGAGGGCCCTGCTGAATGAATGGAAGGCCACTTCCCAGTTCCACAAAAATTCCCTTTCCCATCTGGGCCTCTGTCCCATTCGTTCACTTTGGGAGCCCCTCCCTGAAGTTAACCTCTTCCTTCCCAATCTTGGAACTCAGACCTCTGCCCTCTCTTCATGCCATGACAAGATTTCAGTCAAAAAGTGGGCAGACGGGCAGTTCCAGACCACCTGGCAAAGCCATTGACAAGCCAAGTTTTAAGGCAAATTTTATCTCTGTGTTCGGTCTGGGGCAGACCTTGACTTGTCCCCATCTCTGTCAGACACATCGCTTAGGCAACTTTGATGGGGACGGGAGTGAGGGAACCTGGAGTACATTCTAGAAGGTCCAAGCCGGAACATGTGTGTGTTCTTACGAAGACTACAGTGGACCCATCCTTCTCCTGGGCAGCTGCTTCCTTACAAGTAAACAGGAAGTCAAACTAGAAAACCAAGAGGGTAGCCCAGGTTTGACTGGGATGGAGGTGAGGGGCCCTGGAGCACATTCTAGAAGGTCTAAGCCAGGATATGTTTGTGTTCTTACGGAGGCTGAAATGGACCCATCCTGCTCCTGGGATAGCTGCCTCCGTATGAGTGTAGAGGAGGACAAGCCCAAAAATCAAGAGGGCAGCTAGGTTTCATTAGCAATGTGAGGTCATGATGGATCAGGCCAGGCAAGAGAAATGTCAGGAAAAGGGGTCACTACAAGAGGGACCTCAAATCTGATGATGTGTATGACCTTGGCATCAAAACGATTTTTCTTTAGAACAAAAAAAGAGGGAAAGGGAGAAGTCAAAGAAAGATGTTCCATGAGCATCAGGAGATAAAAGATAGCAGGGAGCATGAGGAAGGCAGGGTAGGGGTCTGGGCTGCAAACACAGGGTGGTGACGTTGCCTCTCATCACGTCTCCTCTCCTTGGGGAGCTGGTGGGCTGGTAGCTGGGCCGGGGGTCCCCTCCCCCGGGGAGCAGGCAGATGACTGTGGCCGGGGGGTTACTCTGCCTGGGCATCGTAATTGGCTCCTCCTGCCTTCTTCAATTCGGTCCTGATGAAGTCTTCCTCCAGCTCCTTCCGATCGCTGATCACAAACTCTTTAGCAAAGTTCTGCAAATTAGAACAAAAGTTCTGCAAATTAGAACACAGAGCCCTCCATTAAGGACACTAGGGGGTCTTGGAAATGAAAATATTACAAAATGGTCAAAACGGAAATTGGACGGCGGGCTGATTTGGCCAACAGAACAATCACTGGAGGTCAAGTTGAGGAGCTATGAGCCTCAGTTTCCTCGGGTGTAAAAACCATGCTGGTCAGCAGGAGGACAAGGGCAACACTGGAAAGGTCGGCTGGAGTGACAGCATGTGTTTCCCATTCAACCCTCCAGTTGCCAAAAAAACGGGGGAAGCCATTGTTATGGACAGAATGGTGTCCTCCCCAAAATATATGTTGGAGTCCTCACTCCTTACCTGGGAATTAAAGGGCTACTGAGTACTGCAAATGGTTTCAAACCCACCTGGGAGCGCTGCAGAAGAAAGATGTGGCAATCTGCAGCCAAGAAACCCCCTATGGTAGTGGTGGTCGTTATGTGCCGTGGAGTCGGAACTGACGCATAGTGACCCTGCACAGGGTTTCCGAGGCTGTAAATCTGTACAGGAGCAGAAAGCCTCATCTTTCTCCCACAGAACGGCTGGTAGTTTTGAACTGCTGACCCTTGGGTTTGCAGCCCAACTCTTAACCACTAGACTACCAGAACTCCTTAAGAAACCCCTATAGAGCAATTCTAAGGAGCTCTGGTAGCGTAGTGGTTACAAATCGGGCTGCGAACCTTTAAGGCCAGTGGTTGGAAACTACCAGCGGCTCTGCGGGAGAAAGATGAGACTTTCTACTCCCTTAAAGATTTACACCCTCGGAAACCCTGTACAGGGTCGCTATGGGTCGGAACCGACTCAACGGCACTTAACAACAACAACAACAATAGAGCAATTCTATTCTGTAACACACTGGGTCAACTCAACACCACTGGGTCTGATTTGGAAGCTGTGGATGAAAGCCCATTTGGAAACAGGGTTTTGTTGTGCCAATGAGGCCACACTAGAATTGTTGTTACGTGCCTTCGAGTCAGTTCTGACCCATAGCGATCCTGCATAGGGTTTCTGAAGAGCAGCTGGTGAGCTTGAACTGCCGACCCTGAGGTTCAAACCGACTGTGCATTGTACTGCATTAACCCACAGCGCCACAACAGAGTAGGATGGGTCCTAAACCTTCTGAGTGGTGTGCTATACACATAACAAGGAAAAACAGACATGGAAAGACTGACTCCAGGGAGAGTCCATGTGATGAGAGCGGCAGGCAGTCACCAGAAACTGAGAGGCTTGAGGTGGTTGATAGAATTCTCTAAAACGGGGCTGTGGAGATGGCTGCACAACTCTTAAATTACTAAAGATCACGGAATTGTACACTTAAATAAATTAATTTACTTAAAATTAAATTTGCAAGATGTCAATTTTATCTCAATGAAATTTTGAAAAAAATCCTATAAATTCAAAGAGAATCCTGAAGGATTCAAGCTGACTCAGTAACACTTAATAACAACAACAATACCTAAAAGAATGAGTTAACCCTAACCCTATCCTAAAAGAATGAGTTAA